TGATGAAAATAAAGAGGGGATGAAAGAAAAGAGGAAGAGATGATGGGGAAGGAAGCAGGGGGAACATAGGAAAAGGGGGGTGGGGAGAAGGAGTATGGGAGTGAAAAGAGGCTGGAGAAGATGTACGGTGATTTGAATGCAATATTCCTGCTTCTTGGCAGAATGGGGTTGGACTGGATGGCCCAGGAGGTCTCTTCCTACTCTAGGATTCTATGATTCTATGATTCGCATCACAACTCCTTGTAGCATGGGGCATGGGCCCTGGATCTGGTTTGGTATCTCCCCTAGCGGAAAGGGGGAACGCCTGGTGGTCCCAGGGGTGCCGAGTTGCGTTTGCCCGGTATTGTGCCAGCGGCACCCTGGCGTGTAAGGGATCGGGCAGTATTGGCCTGCCCGATCGTGATCCAGGACCCATGCTTGGCTGCCAACTCTTGTTCCTGTTATCAATAAATGAGTTGTGGCCATTGTTCATCCCAACATCATGTGTGAGCGTACTTCTTGGGTTGGCTGTGGGAGGTGTATTGCACTTGCACACGCAAATAAGTAAATAAATACTAAGCATCAACTCCAAGGTGCCATGGCAATGAAACCGCATTCATTCTACTGTGTGGACGGGGTGCATCCCTTCACGTTGAAACTTTTGGGCAAAGCTGTCAGCAAAGAAGTCAGCGGAGTTTTCCTTCTTGACGGGATTGCGCTCCAAGTCTTTATGGCCCGGTAATGAGACAGTTGCGCCGGCTGGGAGGAGGTTGATGTTCCTTCCACCGTGTGCATGCCTCTCTCTTTGATCTCCTCCTCCTCCCTCTGGGCAATGCTGAGGTCAGCGCCTGCCTGCCTGCCTGATTGGTGCCTGTCCAAGTTTCCTCTCCAAATGAAGGCACCTTGAGTGCATCTTCCCACTTGTGATAAATGGGAGCACTAATGAAAGAAGGGCAGGGCATGCCAGGCCTTTGGGAGAAAGAGAAATATATATATAGAGAGAGAGACATAGTTCTCTTGCCTTTGAACTCCCCGCGCCTTTGAAGATTCCCGTTCGGCACAACAGGTTGACATGACGCAAAAATGCAGAAATGAAGCCCCTCCAACACCTGACGTGCCAGAGAAAGTATTCATGAGCATACAAAAGGGGAACGAATGAACGAAAGGGAGATGGAAAGAACACCAAACACCGCCAAGGGCCAGAGAGCCAGTGATGGATTGGCGGGTATTTACGGCTGAAATGAATATTTTAGATGTTTGGAGTGCTTTGAGGTGTTGCTTTTTCCATCAGGTTCCACATTGACATAAGGAGATGGATCGCCTTGCTTTGGACTCTGAAAAGTTTTCAAAAAGTACAGAGAAAACAATGGGGGAAAACAGTGTTGTTGTTGTCTCTTGGCGAAGATGCAAAGCAACTTAGAAGATACTCAACCCATAGAACAGTGTTGTTGTTGTTGTTGTTGTTGTCTCTAGGCCAAGATACAAAGCAACTTAGAAGATACTCAACCCATAGAACACTGTTGTCTCTTGTCCAAGATGCAAAGCAACTTAGAGGATACTCAACTCATAGAACAATGTTGTTGTTGTTGTTGTTGTTGTTGTTGTTGTTGTTGTTGTCTCTTGGCCAAGATGCAAAGCAATTTAGAAGATACTCGACCCATAGAACAGTTCTGTTGTCGTTGTTGTTGTCTCTTGGCCAAGATGCAAAGCAATTTAGAAGATACTCGACCCATAGAACAGTGTTGTTGTTGTTGTTGTTGTTGTTGTCGCCTCTAGGCAAAGATACAAAGCAACTTAGAAGATACTCAACCCATAGAACAGTGTTGTTCTTGTTGAACAGTGTTGTTGTTGTTGTTGCTGTTGTTGTTGTTGTCTCTAGGCCAAGATGCAAAGCAACTTAGAAGATACTCGACCCATAGAACAGTGTTGTTGTTGTTGTTGTCTCTAGGCCAAGATACAAAGCAACTCAGAGGATACTCAACTCATAGAACAGTGTTGTTGTTGTCTCTAGGCCAAGATACAAAGCAACTTAGAAGATACTCAACCCATAGAACAGTGTTGTTGTTGTTGAACAGTGTTGTTGTTGTTGTTGTTGTCTCTTGGCCAAGATGCAAAGCAATTTAGAAGATACTCAACCCATAGAACAGTGTTGTTGTTGTTGTCGTTGTTGTTGTTGTCTCTTGGCCAAGATGCAAAGCAACTTAGAAGATACTCAACCCATAGAACAGTGTTGTTGTTGTTGTTGTCTCTTGGCCAAGATGCAAAGCAATTTAGAAGATACTCAACCCATAGAACAGTGTTGTTGTTGAACAGTGTTGTTGTTGTTGTTGTCGTTGTTGTCTCTTGGCCAAGATGCAAAGCAATTTAGAAGATACTCGACCCATAGAACAGTGCTGTTGTTGTTGTTGTTGTTGTTGTCTCTTGGCCAAGATGCAAAGCAACTTAGAAGATACTCAACCCATAGAACAGTGTTGTTGTTGTTGTTGTCTCTTGGCCAAGATGCAAAGCAATTTAGAAGATACTCAACCCATAGAACAGTGTTGTTGTTGAACAGTGTTGTTGTTGTTGTCGTCGTTGTTGTCTCTTGGCCAAGATGCAAAGCAACTTAGAAGATACTCAACCCATAGAACAGTCTTGTTGTTGTTGAACAGTGTTGTTGTTATTGTTGTTGTCTCTTGGCCAAGATGCAAAGCAATTTAGAAGATACTCGACCCATAGAATAGTGTTGTTGTTGTTGTTGTCTCTTGGCCAAGATGCAAAGCAACTTAGAAGATACTCAACCCATAGAACAGTGTTGTTGTTGTTGAACAGTGTTGTTGTTGTTGTTGTTGTCTCTTGGCCAAGATGCAAAGCAACTTAGAAGATACTCAACCCATAGAACAGTGTTGTTGTTGTTGAACAGTGTTGTTGTTGTTGTTGTCTCTTGGCCAAGATGCAAAGCAACTTAGAAGATACTCAACCCATAGAACAGTGTTGTTGTTGTTGAACAGTGTTGTTGTTGTTGTTGTTGTCTCTTGGCCAAGATGCAAAGCAACTTAGAAGATACTCAACCCATAGAACAGTGATGTTGTTGTTGAACAATGTTGTTGTTGTTGTTGTTGTCTCTTGGCCAAGATGCAAAGCAACTTAGAAGATACTCAACCCATAGAACAGTGATGTTGTTGTTGAACAGTGTTGTTGTTGTTGTTGTTGTCTCTTGGCCAAGATGCAAAGCAACTTAGAAGATACTCAACCCATAGAACAGTGTTGTCTCTTGGCCAAGATGCAAAGCAACTTAGAAGATACTCAACCCATAGAACAGTGATGTTGTTGTTGAACAATGTTGTTGTTGTTGTTGTTGTTGTTGTCTCTTGGCCAAGATGCAAAGCAACTTAGAAGATACTCAACCCATAGAACAGTGATGTTGTTGTTGAACAATGTTGTTGTTGTTGTTGTTGTTGTCTCTTGGCCAAGATGCAAAGCAACTTAGAAGATACTCAACCCATAGAACAGTGTTGTTGTTGTTGAACAGTGTTGTTGTTGTTGTTGTTGTCTCTTGGCCAAGATGCAAAACAACCTAGAAGATACTCAACGTGTGCTTTTCACCTTAAGAACAGACAAGCATCCTGATACGTGCCACATTATCACGTCTGCGCCCTACACCACTGGGGAAATTACACTGTTTAGCACCACCTGAAGTAGCAGCCAATAGTGAAAGGACCAAGGCAGTGACATCTCCAGCTCATCCCCTGTTTGGGTATCAGCCAGCACATCAATGACTTAAATCAAGAAATAGTTTTCTAAGATCTACAGAGACACTCGCTGGAACACCTCATTAAGCGAGAGTCCAAAAGTGGCAGGCTCATACCCAGAACCTCAATCAATGGCTGATACCAAATGAGAGACTCCCCCCCCTGGGCACACAGAAGACTGGGCGACTTGGAAGGCGCTGAACAGACTGCTCTGGCACCACGAGATGCAGAGCCAACCTCAAGAAATGGGGCTACAAAGTGGAATCCACGACATGCGAGTGTGGAGAAGAGCCAACCACTGACCACCTGTATTTATTTATTTATTTATTTCGTTTTCTTCTACCCCGCCCTTCTCACCCTGAAGGGGACTCAGGGCGGCTTACAAAGGCACAATTCGATGCCAGCATCACATAACAGTAGTAAAACAAAATAACATCAATTAAACAGTTGAACAGTTAAACAACAATTCCTGCATTACAACCCTAAAACCAATAAAACCAATAAAACAATACAAACCTAATTACTCCTCATAGATGGTCAGCGTTCGCTATCTCATAGTCCAAATTCCAATTCCACATTGTCAGTCCTGTCAGTCCTAGTCGTTTGATTGTCCGTATCTAGTTGTCAGATTGCCCAAAGGCCTGGTCCCACAACCACGTCTTTACTTTCCTCCTGAAGGAGAGGAGGGATGTTGATGCCCTAATTTCCCCCGGGAGTGAGTTCCACAGGTGAGGGGCCACCACTGAGAAGGCCCTGCTCCTCGTCCCCACCAGCCTCACTTGTGATAGCGGTGGGGTCGAGAGCAGGGCCTCCCCAGATGATCTCAAATTCCGGGGTGGGACGTAGAGGGAGATACGTTCGGACAGATACACTGGACCGGAACCGTAAAGGGTTTTGTAGGTCAAAACCAGCACCTTGAATTGTGCTCGGAACTGAACCGGCAGCCAGTGGAGCTGACACAGCAGGGGGGTGGTGTGCTCCCTGTATGACGCTCCGGTGAGTAATCTGGCTGCCGCTCGCTGGACCAGTTGAAGTTTCCGAACAGTCTTCAAGGGCAACCCCACGTAGAGTGTGTTGCAGTAGTCTATTCGGGATGAAACACACTGACCACCTGCTGCAATCCAACCTGAGCCCTGCCACATGCACAATGGAGGACCTTCTCACAGCAACACCAGAGGCTCTCCAAGTGACCAGGTACTGGTCAAAGGACATCTAATCCACTACCAAGTTTGCAAACTTTGTGTTTTGTTTGTTTGTTTAAAATGCAATACAACTGTTTGGTTTGTTCCTGACATGATAAATAAATAAATCTCTTTCTTCAAATCCCGAAACATGAAATCCTCCAAAACAGTCCATCTCTATGGCTTTGTCTTCTGATAGTTCAATGGATACAAAAATATTTAAAATATTGTATAACATGACCTTGAGGCGACATGTCTTAAGGTGTCTATGAAACATCAATGCATTTCGTGTTTGGTCTTGGATCCCATTTACAAGATATCTCATTATGTTCATATAGACAAATTTGGGGGGGGGGGGGAATCCAAAATATTTTATGGCTTGGAATGATTTATGCTCCAAAAACGAAGCCACTTATCAGATCAAAGCAACATTTTTGGTGTGCCTTCCCCTTTTGCCTCGGTTTCTCATCCCGAAATCCTTTTCCTGCCTTGCCTTTATGTCGCCGTAACGGTTCCATCTCGCAGTGACCTTTGCAGAACTGGATAATATTTTATTTACCTTCTTTTGTGCATTTACTGTTAAATGTTAATGAAGGTAAGGGATCCAGAGGCGTGCAAATAAAACATTTTAATTGACTGCAGTGCAACCATAACGGCAAATTGGCTACTTTGGAGAGAAGGGCTGAAAACAAAGCTCAAAATATGGAGGAAGGGGAACGGCTGGAGTTCTCCGATGCTATGATGCCAATGGAGTCTTGTAATGCATCTACACTGTGGAATGAATGCAGTTTGACACCACCTTAACTGCAAAAGCTCAATGCTGTTGCCAGTCTGACAACGGTGGATCCGCGCTACTGGTACTTCTCGACCTTACCACAGCGTTTGACACCGTCGACTACGATCTAATGATTCACCGTCTTGCCATGTCCGGAGTTTGTGGTCAGGCCCTCAATTGGTTCAACTCATTTCTCCGGAACCGGAGTCAACGCGTGGAGTACATGGATCAAGTCTCCGATAGATCCCCCTCCTATGTGGGGTCCCCCAAGGTGCAATTCTCTCTCCTCTTCTCTTCAACATCTACGTTAGACCCCTTGCTAGTTTGGCTCGGAGTTTCGGCCTGGACTGCTACCAATATGCAGACGATACCCAACTCCTTCTGCGCCTGGAGCCTGGAGCAACGTCAATTCCAGACAATTTCACCCTATGTCTGGAAGCTCTGTCAAACTGGCTACGTGCTAGCAGACTGAAGGTGAACCCGGCGAAGACTGAGATTCTCTGGCATGGCCGCCTGGCAGGTCTGACTCCTCCATTACCCACCTTCGATGGTGCTGCCCTATCTCCATCGACCACTGTTAAGAGCTTAGGTGTCATCCTGGATTCGCAGCTGACAATGGAAGCTCAGGTGGCTGCTGCCAGCAAACAGGCCTTTTTCCATCTACGACAAGCGAGGCAACTGGCACCCTCCCTATCTGACGAGGCTCTGGCAACTGTCATCCATGCCACGGTCACGTCTAGGCTGGACTATTGCAATGCCCTGTATGTGGGCCTTCCAATGTCTACGACCCGAAAGCTTCGTATTGTTCAGAATGCGGCAGCCAGGCTACTCACAAGAACGCCCAGGCGCGGTGGGGATCAGGAAAGGGAGCCGGTCATGGGGAAGGGATCGAACGCGGAGAACAATTGAGCGCCGGCTCTGTTCGTGCACCCGGTGGCCAGGTGGAGCAGGAATGAGAGGGGCTAGGCGCGTCTCAAGGGCCCGGCCCCTTTGGGAAGAGGATCGCCCGGCAGCGAGGCAAGAAAGCCGAGGCTCCCCCCGGACTGCTAGGGCTGTTGTGAGCTGAGGGGGCGCTCCTCAAGTGGCAGTCGAGGGGCATTTACAGAGGCGCTTCTGCGCCCCTGGCAAAAAAAAGTGTTCTGCGACCGCTTACTTCGCGTAATGGACGAGCCGCCCCTGCTCATACTTGGCTTGAGTTCTACTAAGATTCCCAAATTCCTTTCATATGGAGTGTTTCCAAGCCAGGTGTCACTCATTCATATCCTTTATCCTATATTACATCCATCAGTCTCGATATTTGACACCTATGCATGCAGCCTTGAATCGTATTGAGCTTTTTAGCTGCTGCATCACATTGTTAGCTCATGCCCAACTTATGGCCTATTAAAACCCTTAGATCCCTTTAAAATTGATTGTTTCCAGGCCAAGTGTCACTCATTCTTATGTCTATTTATTTATTTATTTCGTATACTTCTACCCAGCCCTTCTCAACCCCCTAGGGGGGACTGAGGGCGTCTTACAAAAGGCACAATTTGATGCCTGCACAATAATACAGATAAACATATAAGACTTTAATTAAAACAGTTATAACAGTTAAAAACAATCAATATATATCACAGTCAATAAACTAACTTCATACTCACTAACTCACTAACTCACTAACTCAGAGTCCATAATTTCATTCCACATTATCAGTCATCGTAGTCTTTTGTTTATCTGCCAGATTGCCCAAACGCCTGGTCCCAAATCCATGTTTTTAATTTCCTTCTAAAGGAAAGGAGGGATGTCGCTGATCTAATTTCCCCGGGAAGTGAATTCCATAGGTGAGGGGCCACCACCGAAAAGGCCCTGCTCCTCGTCCCTGCCAATTTCACTTGTAATAGAGGCGGGGTCGAGAGCAGGGCCTCCCCAGAAGATCTCAAACTCTGAGGTGTCTTCGGCATTGAATGTTTGCCTTGTATATATGCATTGTAATCTGCCCTGAGTCCCCTGCGGGGTGAGAAGGGCGGAATATAAATACTGTAAATAAATAAATACATTTTCCCTATAATAGGCAGTAAGAACACCTCAAGCTTCAGAGAGCCTCTGTTTAAGCATTTCAAAGCTCCCTGCTTGAGCAGTGATGGCACGATCATCAGCATAGATGAAACTCTGTCTCTTCTGGCAGTGGCTGGTCATTTGTGTAACTGTTAAACATGGATGGCGCAAGCACGCTCCCCTGAGGCAGGCTGTTCTTCTGTTTCCGCCATCTGCTTCTCTGGCCCTGAAACTCAACAAAAAAGCTCCTGCTTTGTAGCAGATTTCCTATGAAGCGGGTGGGGTTGTAGTCCTTTGTGATATTATACATTTTTCTCCGGAAAATTTTGCTCGACATGACAAACTTTAAGTATTGATGGAGTTTCAGGGGGTTAACCTGGCATTATGTGAGTTGTAGTTTACCCACAATGTGCTGTCACACCCAGACTCCATAAAATTAAAACTAAGATGTGCTTCTCTCTTTATCCGAGTGGACCGCGGGGGTCTTTCTTTAGAGGCTCAAAAATTCTCAGCAACTGAGGCAGTCAAGATTTGAACTTCAACAAAACATTTATTTCCAAAGTCCTTGGCAGATTTGGCACAGCTTGATAAAGTTACAACACAAACAGTCAATTTGGGAAACCATAGAGATGTTCTTTCTTTCCTTTTCCTTCAGTTACTGAGATAACTTTTCCCCCAATGGTAGAAAAAAATCCTGGGATCCTTTCACCCTAACCCTGAGCTGCTATGGTTAGAAAAAACAGGTTTTTCCCTATCTAAGCTCAAGGTTAGCTTTGGAGCTGAAGTAATGCTCAGTAATACTCAATAACTCAATATCTATCTGTTCCGTCTCCCAGGAGCCTGGTTTGCCTTACCTTTCAGCTGTTTGAGACTGCTTTCTTTTGCATTTTGTCCCAGGGCTGCTGCAGTTTGCAAGAGCCCTAAAGGTTAATAGTAGCAGGTTTGCAAAGCCAGTTTGCAGGCCTCCTTTGCAGTTATTGGCTCAAAGAGTAACCTTTGAGCCTGCCCCTTTTATCAGGCCAGACCTCCATTTTGGAGTCCCCCTTGCCTGATCAGTTCTGAAGAAGGAATCTGATGTGCTGAAGGCCAGAAAGGTAGCTCCGACAAAACCACTGCAAAAACAATTGAGAACTATTGAAAACAATTGAGAATAAGCTTAATTGAGTTACAGATAGGAATTGAGAAGTTTATTGAGAAGAATTGAGCTATAGTTAAGTAGATTATAAGAGAGTTATAGAGTGTAAAGAAGAATAGATATTGAGCTTTGAGAATTGAGTTTTATAGAGTCTTATAGAGAGAGAGACTGCACTGCCTTACCTCCAAGGCTAATCTGGAGCTTAGATAGTTAGGGAAAGATTTGTTCTTTCTAAAAGACAACAGCTCTGGGTTAGGGTGAAGGATCCCCGGATCTCTTTGCTATTTGGGTAAAGGCTGACTCAGTAACTGGTGGAGAAGAGAAAGAAGAAATATCTATTTGGTGACTGTTCTGTTTGCAACTTTTAGAAATAAATACCCTTTTTGATGTTCAGAACTTGTAATAGACTCAGTTACTGAGAATCTCAATCTTCTCAAGAAAAGCACCAGCAGTTCACCCAGACATAGGGAACAGCACAACATAGTTTTGTTTTTATAAAAGCGTCTGGGTGTAACGGCACACTATCTATAACTCAATAAGCTTCTCTATCTCAATTATTCAATTGACTTTCTTAATAATTCAATTGTACTTGTCAAAAGGCCGAACAGGGTATAGGGTTACAGCCTGTGCTGGACGGGTTCCCACTCCCCCTGAAGGTGCAGGTTCACAGTTTGGGAGTTCTCCTAGATTCGTCGCTGAGCCTGGAGCCCCAGGTTTTGGCGGTGGTCAGGGGAGCTTTTGCACAATTAAAACTTGTGCGCCAGCTGCGCCCGTACCTTGGGAAGTCTGACTTGGCCACGGTGGTCCACGCTTTGGTTACATCCCGTTTAGACTACTGCAACGCTCTCTACGTGGGGTTGCCTCTGAAGACTGCCCGGAAGCTGCAGCTAGTCCAACGCTCGGCAGCCAGACTACTAACGGGTGCTGGGTACAGGGAGCACACCACTCCGCTGTTACACCAGCTCCACTGGCTGCCAATTAGCTTCCGAGCACAATTCAAAGTGCTGGTCTTAACCTATAAAGCCCTAAACGACTCCGGCCCTGTTTACCTCTCCGAACGTATTCTCCCCTATGAACCATCAAGATTATTAAGATAGTCTGGAGAGGCCCTGCTCTCGGTCCCACCGGCCTCGCAAGCGCGTCTGGTGGGGACGAGGGACAGGGCCTTCTCGGTGGTGGCCCCTCGACTCTGGAACTCTCTCCCACTGGAGATCAGAACCGCCCCTTCTATCCTGACATTTAGGAAACAGGTGAAGACGTGGTTATGGAGACAGGCATTCGACGAGTGAGCCAACACCCTGAGATATGGATGGAGGATGATGAACAACGATTTTAGTGTGACGACTGACCATTGTAGTTATTGAATGTAATTGCTGTTTTAATGTTTTACTGTAATATGTATTATGATGTTTTTATTGATTGTATGTGATATTATGGTTGGAAACCGGTCTGAGTCCCTCAAGAGAGGTGAGAAGGCCGGTATACAAAACTTTTAAATAAGTAATAAATAAATAAATACTTCTCTATCTATCTTTCTATCTATATAACTTAGTTGTTAGTCAGTCATATGA